CAGGGATTTGTACCCTCAGGGCAGGACTTTTCACAGAGGGAAGCGCACTCCCCTGCAGTCCAGGCTGGTGTCCGCAGCATCTGAGTGCTTCTGGCTTTTTGAGGTCCTTGCCACGCTGCTAGGTGAGAGCTGCTGCTGAGCGGCTGTTCAATTAGGTATAGAGCACGCTTTTCACAGCCAGCGTTGATGGGTATGGTTGAGGGGATGGTGTCCTCTGCTTTGGAACCAAGAGGAGAAGAAGGCTTGTAGTGAAGGCATTCTTCTACTTGGCAAACAAGAGGGCCAGCACAGTGCTGCAGAGGGTTATTATCAGCCCCAGTGTGGCTCCCTGGCAGATGCAGTACCCCTGCTGAAAACAACATTTATTCTGGCCCTAGCTTCAGCGTGCCAGAACGCCTCTCCACCCTTCTTATTTTTAATCATTGCTGCGTTTTGTCTGATGGGCTTTGCTGGCAAATGCCTGACTTTTAGCCTGCCTTGAAGTCGATGTTAAAGGTGTGCAGATTTATTTGAGAGTAAAAGGTTGGTTTCCTCCTGTTTCCTCCTCCTCTCTTTCCAGAAAGCCCTGGGAAGGTCCCAGCCCTGTCTCATCCAACTCCCCCCCCCCCAAAGTCATTGCATCCAGTGCACTTCCTCCGTGCCAGATGGATTAGTGTTCCTCGGGGCAGGGCCCCATGTGCATCCAGGGGAGACCGTGTGCCACAGAGCGTATGCTGTGCTTCGTTCTGGCAAGAGCTGCAGGCAGTGACAGGCTGGGATTGCTGCTGTGGCTGGGCTGAGGGGACAGGACTGAGGCTGAGTTGTCATACCTTGCCTCTCATCGTCAGCTCCGAAGGCCTTCTCCTTGTTAGCAGCTGAGGCAGTTGCTTTGCGCTGTACCTGAGCTCTTCTCCCATAAAGCAAAATGCTAACATGCTTTTCCTCCTTGGGACAAACCAGATCATTTTTTTTTCCCCAACGAGTTTGCTAAAAATTAGGAGTATCCCAAGGTTTAAGGCACCTGAAACTGCAGTTACTCATGGCGAGGTTACCAGTTGCAGCCTAGGAGACTGGGGGAGTGGACCACTGAAGTACCCAGTGCTATGTCCTTACCATTATGCTACTGGCCTTTTTCTGTTTTTGTCTGGAAGTTGCAGCCATTCTCTGACTCTTCACTGCTGTGGAGGGTGTCAATTTTGGTAAAACCCAGGATAGGGAGGGTGGGAATAAGTGAATCTACAATATTCTTAAACAAATCAAGTGTACTAAGTGCTGAGCATGACATGGGTTGAGGTATTTTGGAATTGGGAGCTAAATCACTGTAGACCTGGTTGATAATGGAATAAGTGAAGAAAACGATATAAAACGTTTCAGACTCTGCCTAGCTGATACGGTGTGTTAGGGGAAACCAGCTTTACGGATGTTACAGTCTGCCCGTGTTTCATCCGTGAACGTGGAGGGATGGCTGCTGCTGTTAGAAGGTATTGAATTTACTGTAGCAGCTGTTTATTGAATTGCTGTAATTTCTTCTTGGATGTGGTGGTCACAGTCTATATGCGTTCACTGTGAACCTGGGGATGCTTTGGCAGAAGGAGGGAGGATGTGTCAGGGGTGCATTGATAGAGACAGAAGTAAGAAGGTCTAAGCACCTGGTTTCTGGCTGCAGCTCATGCACTGTGAGACCAAAGGGGTCTGGTTTGTTGTAGCTTCTGTTTCCTGTGTTTTCTGATAGCAGAGATTGATGTAAGAGTCTCTGGATGAAAATCAGCAGCCGCTGCTGTACAGGCAATTACCAGTAGTATCATTACAGTCCCTTTTGACCTTGAATCCAGGATTAGGGGGAATATAATCTATTACATTTTCAGCCTACTTTTGTCAGTGGAGGTGTCTCGTTTTTATGTGATAGAGTAAAGCTGCATGAGGAATCCGTGTCCAGTCTTGCTCTGCGTCACAATGCCCTTTCTTGGCTCTGTTTAACTGATAATGCTGCTGTGGATTCTTTATGTGTAGAAACTGTAGACTGTGGAAGACAGACCTTCTTGTAGCCTTGGTCACCCTTAGCCCTTGATTGGAGTCCATTATAAGCACTTTACAGAGGGAGGCAAGTATTATTATCTGTGTTCAGCACCTGGGGAAACTGAGGCACAGAACGAAAATGGCGCACCCGGAGAGACTTGGAGTTAGGAAGGGACGTCAGCCTTTTCCCTGAGGGGCACTCCCCCGGACCCTGCTAAAATGACCTGTCCAGAAAGCAGCTTGCAGCAGTCATGTACAGGGTGTTGTATTTCCTAAGCTGTCAGTGATGTGGGTACTGAGCCTTCCCACCACTTAAAAAACTTGAGAAATGAAGTCTCTCTTTAATGTTAACAATCTGGTATTTTCCCTCAGCAAGACGCTTATGTTATAGCCGGCCTATACTGTTGATTTGAGTGCCTTCTCATACCTATTAAGTCATAAGCTGATTAGCTGTCAGCATAACTGAAAGAAGCATCCCTTATTCTTTGACCTTATTCTTTGACACGTACAGGGACAGTCCTCCCCTCCCCCGATCAGGATGAAGTTTTAAATCAGGGGAGGATGCAAGACAAGGTTTCTTATGCAGCCTTTTTAGCTAGTTTTGGTGAGCTGCGTAAAGACCATGCTATCCTTCTTGCTGGGTGTTCTACTTCACATCCCAGCCGCAGCTCCAAGAGGCAAAACAGAAGCTGGGAGCTGCCGTACTGTTTATTTCACTAAGTGGCAGATGCTGGCACTTGCTTTCTTTCTAAACTTACAGTGGTTTGCGGTAACATTGACTCTTGTAGTGCACTAGTTCCTAGCAGGGTGCAGATGTTTCTTGTCAGCTTTGGCCATCTTTCAGGGCTATAAATATTGCCTTTAATAAAGAGCAGTGGTGAAACAGGGCTGTGATTTATGAGCGAGGCTCTACAACTTGTCATGGCTTTCGAAGCAACGTTTGTACATGGAAGGCTTTGGAGATGTGTTAGCTCACCTGGTTGTCCTTTGCTCTTGTCAATTGTTAGAGCTTGGAGTTCAAAACCAGTCAGGCCTGATTTGAATGGATAAGGTGTTGCTTGGGGTGTGTGTCACAGGACTTTGAATTTGGTTTCTTTTGCAAGTTTGGAGTAGACCAAATTTAGAGAACTTTGGACATTAGCTGGTGCTTTTGGAAAAGGCTGAGGAGGCATTTCCCACAATAGCAGTATCAGGAGGGGCTTTTTTTGTTTCTTAGGGTAGCTGGTGGCCAGTGGTGTCAATGCTATTGGAATTATAGTTGCAGTATTAATTCCCAGCTAGAGCGCTGAGATGGAGTCCTTTTTGCTATAGCAAATATTATTTACACTGAAATAAATGCAAAATCAAACCCGTAGTACCTGTAGGAACAGGTTAGGTGTCTGTTTTCCCCAATACTTGCTTAAAAAAATTTTACTCACAGTGTGGAGTGAGGGGTCTGACTCCCAGGAGGCTGTGGCCGACCCCAAGATGATACTTTTGCTTTTTGTAGCAGCACTCAGAGGATGGAAACAGAGGTGAAATGGGCAAGTCTCCTTCCTGTAGGAGCACCGTACACCTCCTTCTCCTAAACCGTGCACAGGAAGAGAAGTAGAGCACAGGTGATTATTTGTGTGGAAGGAGGCATGCAGCAAAGATTTTTATTTTCAGCGCACATTATATGAGAATCTCATCTTTAAAGGGTTAATAAGTGGCTCGCAGACATTTCAGCAAATGGCGAGATAATTGTTACTGGAGTGCAGCGATCGGTTATTCTAACCGTGGCTTGTCAAGCCTGAAGATTACAGGGGTGTATGAAACCATGGTATGTTGAAGTGTTGTGCTTAAAATCATCTTTAACTCATTCCACTCATATCTGCCCTGTGTATGACCCCTGCTAATCGTTCATTAGCCCTGTGTAAACGAGGATTTAGTGAAAAGAATTTCTGTATAGTATATTTTTTTTTAATAGAAATGCTGTCATGCACACACACACACGCAGAGTTGAAATTTTGCAAGAATTTTCATGCCATTGTGAGAGAATAGCTTTTCCAAAGTGAAAAGTCTGCCAGTGTGCAGGGGTGTGTATGTGGGGGTGCACTTTGGGGTGTGGAGGGCTCTTGCCTCTTTGAGGGGAGAAGCAAAGCAGGCACACAGCTCAGCCAGAGCTTTCCTACTGTAGTAGAGGTGGGAGGAATCTATAAATGCATGATTTATGTAAAGTGCCCTGGGATTGCCATGCTGCATCCTGACTTTGAGCAGCCAGTGAGGGAAGTTGTTGCCACCATGACGGAGCAGGAGGAAAGCAAGCAGTTCTCCAGGCTGGCCTGGGTGGCTTGTGCCTCTCTCCGGTTCCCCAAACTGGAGTTCCTTGCTCAGAGTCCTGATTTTTCTAGCGTTGCCTCCCCGTGGGATGCCCGCTGCTCATGGGCGGCATGGAAGCCACTGAGACTTCTGTGGATGTTATTTTAGATTTGGGGAGTTGTATTGTTTCCAGGACAACTGGGGAAGAATGAGGAAAGGACTTGTGCAGAGTCAGCGTGGAGCTACTGAACACCGTGTCTTGCTCATTGCCTTGTTCCCCTGGAAAATGGCTAATGGCCTACTTTTGCAGGGACCCCTTCAAGCCAAGCAAGTGATTGGGTTAAAAAATACTAGTGCAAGAAGCAAATGAGAAGCCAGTGCTGTCAGGTGCAGTTGTAGGCTGGTAATAGCAAACAGCTCTCTGTGAAGTGAACACAAGTTGTGGACACTCAGCAGACTCAGAAGGTGAGTGCAGAGCAGAATGTGTTTCTCGGCTGGAAAGCCCATATTTGGGTCTCCATGTTTAACTCTCTTAACCTCTGATGACTGCTAAATAAATGTTCCTGTTCTATACAGTTCTGTCAATTAAGTGGAAATTGCTATATTGTGTAATCTTGCCTCTGTAGCATTAATTGCCTTCTATTCTAAGAGGAATTGAATCCTTCTTGAAACTGTAATGTCATCTTTTTTTTTTTTCTTCTTTCCATATTCTTTCTGTCTCATAGCAATGCTGAGCTGCAGAATACAGTGTTAGACTCCAGTGCTGCCATGGGGAGCAATGAACTTCAGGAGAAAGATGCCACCGGAGCCCTTGGCCACGATCTCAGCAATGGCAGCAGCAGCAATTTGGAAGCAGCCAGGCGCCTGGCTAAGCGCCTCTACCATCTGGACAGATTCAAACGCTCCGATGTGGCAAAGCATTTGGGTAAAAAGTATGTGCTGATATGAGGCCTTCGGCCATGTTGATTTTCTTGCTGGTTCTGGAGGGGTTCACTCTCGAATGATAACCTTTACTTATTTATCTGTTTGTTTAAAGCAATGAATTCAGCAAACTTGTGGCCGAAGAATACCTTAAGTTTTTTGACTTCACGGGCATGACGCTGGACTACTCACTCAGGTACATGCCCATTTGCTGACCTTATGTTCTTGTGTTGGTACTAGTGCTGTTTGCTGTGTTGTCCTGATTGAAGTGGTTGCCCTGTGGGGGCTTAAGAGGGTGAAGAGAGGGATGTGACGTGTTTTTGGGACAGAGCTTTTCTCTTCTGTTTGGCTTGGCTTGCTGACGTACTCCAGAGTCCTGTTGGAGTGGTGGCATTTCCTGGAGAGGGAAGGCTTTGGGAGACCTGTTTAGAGATGGTCCTTGACTCAGAGGAGACAGAGAAAAATAACCAGTCACTCAGTAAACAGGAGACTTTAGTCTGATAGATGCTGCTGGGGAATGAAGGTGCTGCTCACAACTGAGCTGCACAGACTTTTTGGCTGATGCCTTGTAGAGCTTGCTCTGCCCAGCTGCAGTGCACAAAGTCAGGGCTGGAGTTTGATATAGCTCAGCAGCCCGCCTTGCCACGTCTCTCTGAGGCACCCAAAAATGTGCAGAACAGCAAAAGCTTCCATGTGGAAAATGCTGTTGACAGTTTGGTAGCTGCCAGCGTGGGTATTTGAAAACCCAGCCCTTCAATTTTCCTTACTTTTTTATGCTGGAGTTAGCCCTCAATGATGTTTGTTTTCAGTACTTTTTTTTCTTAGGGGGCAAAACACCAAGTTTGTGTAGTAGTGGCCTACCATGTTAGCATGGTTGCTGGCGTTCTGGTATTTAAAGGAGTTCAAAGTGGGTTTAAATCATCTGGCTGAGGTTACTCAAGTGGATTATTGTTTTTTGCTGCTGGTATGAAACCAGGAGGCCCGCAGTCACTTGCCAGTCCCCTTGCAAATGCATTTCCCAGGGGTCTGACTCCGGGAGACTGTGGTGGATCCCAAGGAAAACCCAGAGTCCTGCCTGCTGGAGGTGGAGGAAAGGAAGCGCATCAGTGGAGGAGTGGACCGCCTGCTCCCACGGCAGGGCGATCGGATCCGAGCCAGAGCACCCGCTCAGCACAGGGCAGGAGCAGCCAGGGTGGTGGGAGGTCTCCTGCTCCTTCCGGGTTTTAGCAGCCCTGAAGCACGATGCTAAATATACCCATCTTTCAAATTGTGAAATCCAACACCTAATTGCTTTGTGGCACATATTTAAGAGGTCTCTGCTCCCGGTAGATCTCCTGTTAATATTAATAGTCATGACCTCTAAAATATGCCCTGCCTCATGTGGGACCTAGACACACCAGTGGTTTGCTGGGGTTTCAGAGTAGGTACAGCGACTGCTGGCTGCAGGCCCTGCATGCACAGCCAAGGCCGAGGACAGAGCATCGTCCCGAGGCAGGGGGGAGCCCAGGCAAGCTGCCTCATGCTTGCAGAGAGCAAGAGGTAACCACCCTGTTGCTGGTGGCCTGCTGACAAGCTGTGGTTTGTTAAGCATTTTGGAGCTCACGGCGGCAGCCCGGGCCCTGCTACCCCGCCAGGCTGTGGGAGTCTGTTGTGCAGTGCGTGTCACCGTTGGTGGCAAGTCTGGAACATGGGAAGGATTGTTATTTCATCGTCCTGCTCTGCCTCCACACCCTGGACCCACATTGCCCACTTATCTCTGGAGTGCATCTCTCACATCCTCCACCGGACCACAGGAGGGAGAGGAGGTAGAACCACTGCTCCAGCCCCTCTCAGGGTCCATCATGGTCCTCCCAGTGGGCAGAATCTTGCACCAGTAGCCTTTACCAAATGTTGTTTCATCAGTTACCTCTCCAAGCTGGCTTCCAGGGAGGTAAAGGTGCTGAAGAGGTAGAGAGGGTGTAGGTCGGTGGTGCCTGGCATGGGTGTTACTGGAAAGAGCCTGGGCTGGAGGAGGAGAAGGAAGAAAGATGGGTAGTTCTCAAAATGTGCCATGGGGGCATGAGGAAGGGAAATGAAACTCTGCAAAGTCTCAGTTGTATCTACTTGTGAATAGGGTTATTTGCAATACATTACATGTGAAATTAAGTTATTACCAGGCAGGTCACACTCTATATGGGTGTGAGAACGCTGCAAGTACAGCCCGTTTCTGACCTTACATCAAAGAGAAAAAATTAATGTTTATTCGTCCAGGCTAGGTAGATGTGAATGTTCCAGCAACATATTCCACGCCTCACAGATCTGGTGTTAGTTTCAGTCTCATGGGATATTTAAAATTTGACTATTAGGCACTCATTTTGTATGCTGTCTTTCTTCGGACCCAGAAGACTTGTGTTTTCAGGCTTTTCTTAGAAGCGTCCTGACAATCTTAGAATCGTCCTGAGAGTAGGCCGATACTGCTGAGGTCATCTGTTGGCTCCAGGGTGTGGGGGTTTTGGGAAGTGCAGAAGTTCTTCTTTGGCTGTGAGGCTCTGAGTTTTTCTAGCAGGAAGAATAGCAGCATGGTTAAAAGGAGGGGCGGTTAATTGTTGAATGAAAAGTCAAAGAATTATATGTGTCCCACCTCTCTGCAGAGGCTTGCTGCGTGTGTCTAATGAGCATTCCACAGTGTGCACCAGATCTGTGCCCCGGACTGTCATGAGCAGGAACCCAGGAGGTCTAGGTTGCTCATCCTGTTGTTGGCGCTCAGTGGGAGCTGTTGAGACTCTTCTTCCTCTTCCCCAGATGTTTCTGCAGGTCAGGTAGTCACACTGCCTCCTGCAAGGAGACTGGTGTGGTCCTGGCCACTCTGTTGGGTGACTCTCCAGAAGGAGGACTGCACATTTAATGTGGGTTCTGAGTCTGCAGTGCAGCTGCTTGACTACACCGCCTGGAGTAGCTCCTCTGCTTTGGATGGGAATACTGATGAAAGTAAAGTTAAAATGTGCAGGGGTGACAGACAATTAGAAAAGGACGGAGAACACGCTGGATATCTGTCATGCATAAACAACACCTGCTCCAGTTCCTTCCCCAAAGAAAATGAAAACATTAAAAGTAAGAACAGCTCTTTCAAATGGTGTAATCGCTTATTAGTTTGTATATTCCATGGCTGATTCCAGTGGTAATTTAACTTCTGTTTCATTTACTATAATGTTGAGATCAACCGCACATGGGATAATAATCAGTTTTCCTAGAAAGGCTTCTTGGAACCAAATATCTGGTGTGTGCTTATGTACTCCTTTGCTCTGAAGTGTATTTTGCTCTGTGCGCTGTGTGAGTCAAAAAACCAAAATAATTTATGAGTTTAATTTCACCACCTTCTGCTCTTCTTTTAGGACTTTCTTTAAAGCCTTTTCACTTATTGGAGAAACTCAGGAACGTGAGAGAGTTTTAATCCACTTCTCCAGCAGATACTACCAGTGCAACCCAAACACCATTTCTTCTCAAGGTAACTTTGTTTCTGATGTGAATGTCTTTAGTTGTCTCCCTCTTCCTTCATTCTTGCCTTCAATAGCATGTGTGGTGCGTACCTGGGAACTGAAGGTGTGTAACTGCCATGTCACGTTTTAGAGACTGTTTGTGGTGAGCACTGAAACCCTACATGTTCTCCGTGCATAATCATGGTAAGGCAGTAAAAATTTGTATCTATCCCCAATTAGGAAAGGTGTTTAGACCTTCTCAGTGCAGAGCCTCAGTTGTAGCATCTCTAAATTTGAATACCCTAACTTGTGGTTTCTCATTGACTTCCAGCATGTGTGGGTACCTGTACTCTAGCTACACACATGGATGAGAACTGGTCCCATTTCAGGTGGAAAAGAAGCTGTTCGCTTTCTGTGCTCCATTCAGTGCTTGTCTCTCTGCATGCACTGGCAGCAGGCATGCCAGTTCTTGCCAGTTGTGGGGGTGAATTTTGGGTGCTGTATCCAGACCCTGGCATGGTTTCATCTCGACTAGCTAACATCAGTTGGAGTGCTGCCTCCTTGCCAATGTTTTCAGTCATTTTGGAAATGGATGGGGGAAACAAACAAGCACACGGATCAAACCTGAGAAAGTTGGCATTGGAGAAGAGGACAAAGTGTCCGCTGGCATAGCTGCTGCATTCAGCCGGCCACGCCAGCAGAGGCATGTGGCCCTCCGATTGCAGCACGGGCTGATCACACGCTGAGAAAGGGGAGGAGGGCAAGAGAGAAAATAAACACAGGCTAAACTGTGCCTTTAGTCTCAAGTGTAAGTGAGAAGGAGCTGCTACACATGGAGGTACTGCCACACGTCCTTACCCCTTGCTTTATGACCTGCCGCGGTTGCAGTGAGGTGATGTTTGTGCACTTTGCGCCTGTTGGGCTTTACTGGCTGGCATGCCAGGGAGGGGAATAGGTAGCAGTAAGACAGGATTTGCTCCCATGCTATTTCTGTCCTCTTCCTAATGCCTTTCTTGTTTCAGTACACCACAGACAGTCAGGTAGAACAAGTGTGTCATGTCCAGGTTGCAATAATGACTTGCATGTTGATGTGGCAGCCTTACTCTAGAGTGCAGGAGGGACATTGCCACTTCTGAGCCCGAGTAAACATTTAGATTAAAGTGAGCCCTGCAGACTTTGCCCAGCTTTCTACTTAATTTTGATGCTGTATTTCTACTGTCAGTAATGGAGTCCTACACTGCAGAAGTATGGTGGTTGTTCCAGGTGGAAATCCAGGATTCCATTTTCCCCTTTCCCTTTTCCATCCTCTGGATGCATTTGCAGTTTAGAAATGAGAGAGTTTCTCTCTAGAGAAATGCATAGACCTGAACTGAAGCACCACAGCCCCAGATTCAAGCAGCTTCAGACTTACTAAGGCTAGTGATAATAGTTCTCGCATTTCATGCTGTGCTGCAGTTTGGTGAGTACTGGGGCCTGTACAATCATCTTAAGAAAACATGGTCCTTACCTTGGGGGGCATCCCTTTGTAATGGCTTCATCTTGCATGGATTTAAGCCCATGATAATCACATTGAATGAGAGATATATTTGTCCTCATCCCTTACTCCTTTTCATTCACAGCACAGAGCGATCTGTGTGTGGTCATTATCTGGAGTTGGTTTTTACGTGCATCTCCCTGCAATGTGTGCATGTCTCATAAATAAGTCTGTGTCTTTGACACCCCTGTGAGAGAAGAGAAGGTGGCACGATGAGTTTATGAACAAGAGAATGGAGAAAATACTTTTCCTAATGTTTGGAAGCTGGCTAGAGGCATTTGGATTTTCAGAGGTGATAAATAGCACTATGGGCACTGTCACCTTTGTCTGGATTTGTGCACAGCCAATACATTCAGGGTTTTGAAAGGAGTGCCTGGAAAGTGATGAATATGAAATTGGTGTCCACTGTTGCAAATGACAGTCTACACTGACTTTCCCAAGTCTGTCACAGTGTCTTCAGGGGTATAGCTACAGATACAATCTGTCTCTTCTGGCTCATTGTTGAGGATTTTTGCAACAGGACCACCTTAGAAATTGCTGGAGCACACTATCCAATCTGGAGCCAACGCAGTGTAAATAGCTGACTGAAATTCTCCAAAACTCAGCCTAATTGAGCCCTGAATGGGCCAGGGGGGGAGGGAAACCAGATAATGTGGTATATCCATGCTGCACACAAGAATGGGCCTATTTTACTGTTCCCTTTCTGCCCTGAAATAAATGAAGAAGAGGGAGTTGATTCAGGCTATGGTATTGGTATTAGCAAGCAAAGGGTGACAGTGTGGTTTCCTGTCTAGTTTCCCTCATCCATGGGTGCTGCAAGATAAGTTTTGACAGTCATTAAGAGATGAAAGAAAGGCTGTTCTGGCTTGGCAGCTGCGGGATGACCTCACTGTTCATTTATTTAATTATGTGTATTTCTTGATAAAACAGATTCTTATTAAGGGAACAGACTCAATTAGGCTATGAGGCTCAGTTTTAGCTGTTCTTGAAGGTCCAGTTGGGGGCTTGCATGTAACTCTGGTTTTGTCTCTTTCTGCAGATGGAGTTCACTGTCTCACATGTGCCATGATGCTGCTGAACACAGACCTGCATGGCCACGTGAGTATGCACAGCTTTGTGTAGACTGCCCCTATTGACACCGTGCTTGCAGGGGGTGGTCTTCTGGCAGCAGAGTCCCCTGGCTGGTGGCCTGCACCCTTACAGACAGCAGTGAGAAGACTGTACTCCCAGGCTGTTGTCCTGGGCAGGGCTTCCCAGATATGTAAGCCTGGCGTTGTGCCTGGTTTTGCCATAATGTGTGAGGACGCTCCTTGTCCTCAGGCCCCTGTCTTTCTGGTATGCTTCCCACCCTTCCCTGGTTACAGCAGCTGGCCCTGGCCAGGAAGCTGTGGTTGGGATTGGCTTCCCTTTTCCAGAGTGTAAAAACATTTGGGAAGGCAGAAGAAAGGAGGGAGCTGAAGAATTGGTGGAAGGGTCACAAGGGGAAGGTGATATTCGCAGGCATCCAGTGGCAGGGGGAGATCCAGTGGAACCAGGGTTCTGCTCAGCCAGGGTAATGACAAGTGTGCTCAGAGCCAAGAGAGCAGGGGGGGAACACGGGCATCCTGAGTGGGAGCACTGTGTTGCCCCACTGCAGGTCTCTCCACTGCTTGCCCAGGGGAAATAGTATTCCAGTTTCAGCCCTCTTAGTCACACTGGTACAGGATGCCAGCAGCCCTAGGACATGTATTTCAGCACTCATGGTGTAGTACGTCTGCTATGTATGGTATTTGCAGGCTGATAGGAGACTTCCTCTATCCTGGAGTCAGGATGGAGGGGAAAAACACAGGGAGCATGTCATGATAGTATGCAGAAGCAGGGGCTTCAGCCAAGTGGCTTTGGGGCTTCTCTCTGGCTGAAACTCTCCACTGCACTGCCAAGGGCTCTTCCAGGAGGGCCTCAGTTGGGAGCTCTTTTGCAGCAAGCGTGGTGCATTGGGCAGGAGGAGGTGGAAGTGCCTTGGGTTGGTCTCCAAGGGCTGCTTGGCCCCTGTGGGTGCTGCTCTGCGGTGGGTGCAGGTAATGAAGCCAAGGCTTGTGTGTGGTTCCGCAGGGGTTTTGACGCCCACCTCCTATTAATTGAACGCCTTTGTCTGAAAATTGTAGAAATGTGAGGGGGAAGGGAGTTGTGAAGAATTTTTTCTATGAAGGCTGAGCCTTCTCTGACTGAGGAGTGTGTCAGTCACATGGGAGGGTGAGCAAAGGTAAGGGAACGTGCCCCGATGTGCCTTTTAGCATACATGGCTTCTCTTGAGCACACCTGGAACCACCTGCACAGGTACCCTGTTCCCCAGAGCAATAGCAGCCTGGGGCACCTGGTCTCCAGCCTGTCTGGCCTTGCAGTCCAGGGAGGGAGACTAAATGGTTGAGCATCATCCTGACAGCATTTCCACATTTCCTGTTGCTCCCTGTGATGCTTTAGTGGGCCCTACTGTCTTCATTAGGTACTTGAGTAAATGATTTGGATCTGCCCCATCGTTGCTGCTGCTGGTTTGCAGCTGAAGCTAGGATGACTCTGGCTGTTGCTGTGTGTGACTTTGGAGGCTTATCCTACTGGCAATCGTTAGTGTGTTGTTACATGTGCGCAGCTGTAATACTTGCCAGACTCCTGCATGTGTCTCCTCTCTCCCTCTCTCCCCCCACCTCCCCACTCCCCTCCTGCTTTCCTGTAATTTTGATCTTCCTCTTATTGCTTTGCATTTTTCCACATAGGTGGTAAGTTGGGCTTTTTTGCCTTGGAATGCAGCCCCTTGTAGATATACACTAATTGCCTGTTTCCTAACAAAGATAATGCTCTAACCCATCCTTTGCATGATTCTGCTAGAGCAGGAAGCAAATGAGTCACAGAGCTTGTCTACACTGAGCTCTGTTTGTTGCTGACATACTGATCATAAGTGCAGACTCTTTTATTTCACAATAAGCTCAACTGCTTGTAGGGCTGTTGTGCAGCTGCTCTGCCTTCACACTTTCCCTTAACTCTTGTAGACAAACTCTTATCCCATTACTTATCCCTGCCTTGCCACATGTCATTATCCTTTAAACTAACTCATTTTTGCTAGCTGTGTCTTGGAGATGCATGTTCACTTCTTTGCAGGGAGGTCATCACCCGGACTGTGGTGGTAGAGACTTTTAAGGTATCTCTAGACTGCCAGGCACATCTTCTGGAAGCTGTGTGGCACTGATGGAGATGTTAGCTTCGGTCCTGGAGCAATTTGTCTGCAATGCCAGTTATCTCAGTGGGTGACATAAGCCACACTGCTGTTGTGGGGAAGCTGCAAACTGCCGCATGGAGGAAACAAACAGGAACAGGCTCAAGTCTGTCGCAGGGAGAAAACATTTGCAAGTCTAGAAGAACAGCTCTAGCCTTTACCCAAAGACTGCAATTATGAGCTGTATTCTGCAAGCTTAGCAACCAGAGAGAGGGTTACAGCCAGACTGTGTTGTCAGGAGCCTTCATGATGTGGGAAGCAGTGCATCATATGCCCCTCCAGAAGTATCTCCTCTCTTGTGGAAGGCAGTGTTCCTGCCTGCCTTCTTTCTGCTTGTCTGTGCTGCAGGATCTTCCTTTGTGGCTAGATGAGGCTGACGGTCAAGGTTTGCTGGTTTTCCATGTCTCCCTCATCATACATTATGGAAGGGAAGTAGAAGGTGTGCAGTCCAAGCTGTCTTGCAACTGTAACATTGAATGGCCTGTATTACTGACTGGTGCCCTTCTTTGGGCTCCACTCCTGTGTTAATTTGGGCTCTTGCTTCTAACACAAGTCACTGTCTGTCCACAAAGCTCTTCCACTGTATTTCTGCAGCCAGGGCATACCCTGACCGTAGGGAAGTTGTCTTCACCCCCTTCTCCTAACTGGCAGCAGTGACATCCCCAAAGATACCATGGTCATCACAGGGCCCTGTTTTCCTTCTGGCTTTACTATGTCTTGCAGCTCATCCCAGGCTACTTCCCTTTCCTCAAATCTCTCTGGGTGCCTTGTACACCACTTCAGTGTTGTCATTGCTGCCTGCTCACAAAGCTTCCCGCAGCCAAGTGTGGGACTTCTGGCACCTAGGGTACCAAGTGCAGACACCTTCTCTGAGGGATGATGAGGACTGGGATCCAAGAGCAGTTTAGGGCAGTCTCAAGCGTTCAAATAGAGCAGTTTGAGTCCTGTATGAACATAGCTGTTCCTTTCCAGTTGGTGGCTCAGTTGGGCAACTTTCAGTCTGGGAAACGGACAGAAAGAGCACAAAAATAGAATCCTATGGAAGTGTGAAGGCAACCTCAGCCTGTGAATCAGAAAAGGTAGAATGTAAAAAAGGTAGATGCTCCTGGGCATCTTAATGCAACTCAGGGCTGTTGCTGTTGGAAGGGGGCATAGGAAATTGTAAGAGAGAGGTCTGGAAAGGGGCTCATTTGGCTGTTTCCTTATGTCCCACAGGAGCATCAGGTAGAGCTTTTCCATCAGAGGCTGGTAGAGTCTCTAGAGGTATGAAGGTGTAAGGGACCATGCAGATATTAGAGCGCTTCATCATCACTCTCTTCAGTATCCTCCACTGTACAGCTCTTTTTCTTTTTTGATGGGTGTATGGTGCTTGGGGTCCAAATGGACATTCCCTTTCCTAACTATAATCATACCAGAATGCTTGTCTCTGAGTAAGCTTGGGAATGCCTTCTTAGTGCTGCCTGCCTTGGACTTAAGTGATAGCAGGGAAATGCAATTTATCTGATGTTGCTTATTTATGTCATTTTGGAAAGCAGCATGTATATGATACTGTATTTTTCTGCCATCTCTTCCAGAACATTGGGAAAAAGATGACCTGCCAAGAGTTCATTGCTAACCTCCAGGGGATGAATGATGGCAAAGACTTCCCGAAAGGGCTGTTAAAGGTAAGGAATAAACTGCAGAACATCGGTTTTGCTTTTAGTGAGAGATGGTTCAAAAGAGAACACTCTGCTTGCATTTTCTGAATCTAATTGTCAAACAGGACAAGCAATGGGCATGCTTCTCCTCCTAGAACATATATAATATGTACAGTGTTTATGCTGTTGTTTTCCCTCTTGCCTTCACTTGACTGTGATCGAAACTCTCTGCAGGATGGAGAGGGGAGGCTGAACACTGGTGGGGCTGGCTCCAGAGTCGAGTGTCTCATAAGCTCATGCAGGCATGCTGTCCCAGAGTGCTGTTTCCTGATTAAAGTGGACAGAAGCAGCCGGTTGATTATGACTATTGAATATGTAAGGACTAATCCCGAGCTCTGCGTATCTGGAAGGCGTGTGTGTTTTTTCATCAAAGGTGCTTTGGGGTTTTCACATTAGAGTAGGAGATGTAATTTCAGATTACAATGTGTTGTCTGGCACAGGCTGCTTTTCTTCAGGTTTTGTTCATTAAGTTTGTGCCAGGAGTTAAATGTGAAGAACAAGGAAAGAGACTAAGCAGGACGAATCTTGTTTTATTGTCAATAATAATGAGAATGTTTCATTTCTCTTCTGCCTGATTGCTGGCATGAAACAGCAGTCTGTTTGAATGAAGAGAGGAGCGCGTACACTAGAGTTCATCATTTTTTTTTTGGTAATGAAAATAAAAGCGAGAGGTTGCTGCATCTAAGAGCTGACCGAAAGCCTACTGAAGTAAATCAAAAGAATTGCTGTGTTTTCTGTGTGTTTTGTGTCAGGCGCATTGTGAAATGCAGATGTACCCGCATAGTTACAAGTGGCAGATTTTGTTTTCCAGTATTGGTAGTTTCTTCAGTTTCTCCAGCCTCTTCGGAGAGCTTTTTATTGCTCAAAAACCTCCTGCCTCAGTTCTTACTAAAGAGTTAGGAATATAGACTCAACACCCTCATTTTCAGATGTAATGTCTTTATTTTTTAAATCTGGATACAGAGTATTCATCTGTCAGCAGCAACATTTAATATTTTTTTTCCCAAGGAATCTCATTTATCACTCTGCCATAGAGAGATGTGTTTAGATTAATTTGCAGGGTAATTACAGCCCTTATTGAATAAATAGGTCTCCAGACTGTGTTTAAATAACCTTCTGAGTGTACTGATGAGAGACTTCCACTGGTGCTCACCTGCTGTTTATTTTCCTGCTGACAGAATTACGCAGTTGGGGCTGTATCTTGGTGTTTAGCACTGACCTGCTAATGCTAAGGTGTGCCTGGCTCTTCGCCAGCCCACCCAAAGTGAGGACTGGGCTTGGGATTTTTTGGATGTAGCAGGATGGAGGTAACTGCTCTCGGTGTCCTGCCTCTTTGAGGATTTCTGTCCTTTTCTGCGTGCTGCCCTATGCCTTGGGGACAGAAGTGGCACTCCACCTCAGTTTCTCATCTGGCTTATCTAAAGATTTGCTGTTGATCTGCCCCTTGCTGTTTTAATTTATCAGTGGAGGGGAGTGGAGTCAGCGGCAGTAACTGCATTTCAGTAGCTACATCACTGTGTCCGCAGCAGCCACCTTGCCACTAGATATGTGATTACAAAGACTTAGCAGAAATTAAATTTGCATTAGTCTCAATAAATTAAATTTGCAGAGCCCTCCTACAGCACAGCGCCAAAGTGCATATGGCTTGCTGGTGCATTAGCAGTGTAACTAATGAGCAGTGGTGAGGCTGTGAGCCATCTCCCCGCATCCTTCCCCAGCCGCCTGGGAGAGGAAGGACGGTTTCCACAGGGTGGCAGTGTGTCCCTGTGGGAGTGAGGCACTGCTCAACAGTGCAGACTCCAGGGGAAGCTAATGGGGTTTTCTGCCTTGCAGGTCTTTCTGTTTTCCCCTCGTGGCTCTTCTGCACCCCTGTGTGAAGCTCTGCAACTCTGCTGAGTCCCAGAGCAAAGCTGAGTGGTGCTGGAAGGGAAAGGAGGGGAGGTTGTTGTAGCAAGCGCTTACATCTTTGCAGGCAGTGTTCACCCAGCGCTTGGGAAGCTCTCTGCAGCATCTACTCTGGATCCAGTTCACAGAGTCAGGGCTGTAAATACTGCTCGGGCTATCCAGGACTCTCACCAAACAGGCAGAAATCAAACATTACCTTCAGTCAATCCCATTAACCTTATTGCTACTGAATGCAGAGTGTGGACTGGAGCGTTTGGTTTGTCTGGATAGGAAAATAACCCTTCAAGGGTCAGACGTCAACATGTGAGGAGGGACACTTCTGTCTTCTGTGTGATCAGCCTCAGAAAACTTCTGATGTGAGATCTGATTGCTCCTTTCCACTTCTATGAGGGAGCTTTGTTTTATTAAGTTTTTTCCCAACAATAAGGATGCTTTGGTAAACACCATAAGGCCTTCAGGATGTGATTCCCGGTGTGTCACTGATAGTGCTTTGAGAACAGAGATTTTACTCTGGCTAGAGAGAGAAATGAGAAATGCTAGTATGAGTTTGCTTACCGTGTGTCCTTCTCTGTGTTCATTAACACTGAAAAGAGTTTTTCTTTTGTACACCCATCTGCACAAAAACTCATCTCTTCCTTCTTCCTCATTCCTTTTGTCAGATCTGAGGTTGCTTTTACAGTCGGGACCCATAAACGCAAATACACCAAACTGTGATTAAAAGCATGGTTCTCCCCATGGGATCTGCTCACAGTATTCATTTATTTAGTACTTTGCCAGGTGGGCAGATAGATGTACCTTCACTTTTATTCCGTGTTAGCTCCGGTTCAACCGTCTGTCACACATCCCGTTAATCTGCCACTGGCTACTAGTAAAGAGTAGACATGGAGACAGTAGCCTGCTTTCCAGTTCTGTACTGTCAGTGCATGCTGACCTGAGAGCAGTGGTTTATACTTCATGCAGGGTTCTAGTATACCTTCAAACTGGGGCAAATTCCCTGTAAATAGGAACCAGTATCCCGAGCTCTGATTCTCTTCTCTGTTGTAAATCAGGAGCATCTATCTCTGTGGGTCTGTCTGGTGTAGAAAGTGAGTCAGGTCTGCTAAATCCAAGCAGATTAAAGTTACTGAAAGTGAAATTTCTCAAAGGCAAGAAAACTTTGACTGAGTTGTCACACTCCAAGCACACATTTTTGTATTGTATCAAGCTGTGATCAGACGAGGTGGTCATGAATTTCAGCTTTGATCTTATACTTCCCTGTAGCAAAAGTCCCTTTTTCCTGGTGAGCTGAAGCCCTGGAGCGGAGTGCTAAATACCAAGAGTTGTGACAGCCCATGTTTTAGTTAGTGCAGCAGTACTCTGCTGTGGATGGGCTCAGTGCTCGCTCCTAAGGCTCACAGTGAATCACACATTTACCAGCGTTTACGGGTGGGGGATGAGTGACAGGTTTACAGGGACTGAGAGAGACAAAGGCACCCAGCACTGCAGTGCTCATCTCCTCAGAGCGGATGTACCTGACATCCTGGATTAGGTGCTGCAGGTGGTTGTTAGCCTAAGAGAATCATTGTTCGTTTAGTCCTGTAGAAAGGGAGGCCATGGCTAAGGTCTCCCTGCTTGGACGGGAGATGGCATCAGTCCGTAGCGATGTCAGGAACCTCATGACTACAGTGTAGGAGCAGTTCATCTGCAGGCTGGTTCCTTCCTCCTGTGCTCACACCGGCTTTAATCTGGTGCATTGATACCGTCCTCACTGATAACACTCTGGGTTTGCATTATTGACTATAGGCTTCTTCAAAGCTGGGCTTCATGAGATTGTCTGGAACGAGAAGAGGAGGCGGAAAGGAGGCTTGGAAAGAGCCTAATTTTGGCCATGCACGGTTGCTTCATTTCCTATAGGCGGTGTGGTCCCCATAAATGAAGTGACCATTGTGTCTCCCTGTGGTCAGCTTGTGGCAAGGTGTGTGAGACTCTGCCCGTGCAAGGTGGCAGTGACAAGGCCTTTCTTATTGCAAGGAAAGAAAACATCTTCCCTGGCCCACAGAGAGCCTGCAAGGAGTCACCTCTGAGGAAATGGATCCCTGCTTTTGTTAGGCAGCATCTTGGGAAGGCTACTCTGTCATTAGGCAGTGTGCTAAGTACCACCTGCCCATATTGTCCTGCATAAGTAAATGCATCTGCAGTATACGAGGTACCTCATTCATGGAGTCAAGGGCATCACCCAACCTCTGACGTGGGCTGACTCTGTGTTGCCCCATGACATGAACACTGGGTGTGAGGGTGCTGTGCTTGGCTGTGTGTCTCCTGGTAGGAGGTGGTAGCTCTTTGCTGACCCATGATGCTGTCAGGTAGCCTCTCCATCGTGCTGAGGGACCTGGGATGCTCTACAGGGACCTGGCTAGAGCCATCCTGGCAGGGACTGCTGATGGAGATAAGTCAGTCCTGAGTAAAAGATCTGCTTTTTCTCAAAGGCTGTTTTTTGCCTATGCCTTATCTCCGGGAGAAGCACTGTAATGAAGTGACCAAATTAAGTGGGAGTTGCTGGTGCTGAACTCTTCTGAAGAACCAGTCCCCCTTAATTTCCTAAATGATCTGAATTCTTGATCAGGATTGCTGGGATATGCAATTTCCTATAGAAGCTGCAAGGTAGGGTTTATCTCATTTTGCTGTCAGTTCCCTGCGCTTTAATTAAGGATATTATTATTTTTGCCGCTGTCTTTCTACCTCCTCTCTTCTTTTTTTTTTTTTTTTTTTTCCCCAGTTTTTTTCCTTTAAAAGCCATGCAAAGTAAACACTCAATTTAAAGAGAATTACTGGCATCTTGTTTCATCCATTCCAGTCACTTCAGGTATTTAGCGGAGAGAAGGGAGTGAGCATCAGGTGGCTAACCTCCCCCCTTCCCCCCCATTTACTCAGAGGAAATCACACTAATCAGACTGCTGTGTACACCCTAATTGCTCTCATCTGCAGTTTCCACACTTCCTGCATTTCATGGCTGAGGCTCTTCGGCAAGGAATTCCCACCTTCCTGCTACTGCTGAATGGGGACGGGAGCCTGATGGATTTGGG